GCTTGCTGGACCTGCACATGCTGAAGCTGTGGGAGGCAGGAGTGCTGGCGAGGGAGAGGCGCCGCTGGCTGCCCGAAACACTGCAGGAGAGCTACCGGTGAGGACTCTGGGGAGACACTAAAGGAGGGGTGCCGATGATGACTCGGGGGAGACACTGCAGTAGAGCTACCGGGAGGATATTGGGGAGACACTGCAGAAGAGGTATTGGTGAGGGGTCGGGAGGAGACACCGCGAGAGAGGTATTGGTGAGGGGTCTGGGAATACACTGCAGGAGAGATATTGGTGGGTGGTCTGGGAAGACGCTGCAGGAGAGGCATTGGTGGGGGGTCTGGGAAGACACTGCAGAATATCCGCGGGTGAAGATCTGGGACCCATTGCAGCTGAGCCGAATGGTGAGTGTTGGGGAACACCCCGTAGCGGAGCTGTGTCTACCGGGCGAGGCACTGCAAGAAACCCCGTGGTGAATGGTGAGTATTGGGAACACCCCGTAGCGGAGCTGTATGTGTACCGGGTGAGGCGCTGCAAGAAATCCCAAGGCGAATGGTGAGTATTGGGGAACACACCGTAGCGGAGCTGTATTTGTCTACCGGGCGAGGTACTGCAAGAAATGCCATGGCGAATGGTGAGTATTGGGAAGACACACCGTAGCAGAGCTGTATGTGTCTACCGGGTGAGGCATTGCAAGAAATCCCAAGGCGAATGGTGAGTTCCCCGGGCGACAGCAGTAGAGCTTGGTATGGGACACTGCACGGATCCTGCGGTTGAGCTACTATTAGGCTCGACGAGGTGTTTGTAGAGGACACGCGGACTCGGTAATTGATTTTATAGTGATCCAGTGCGGACTTGCCGTTGCTGTGTATGAACTCTGACTTGGCCATGTATGAATGCTGACTTGGCCATGTGTGAAAGCTGACTTGGTTGTGTATGAACGCTGACTTGGCCATGTGTGAAGTCTGACTTGGGAATGTGTGAGGGCTGACTTGGCTGTGTATGAACGCCGGCTTGGCCATGTGTGAAGGCTGACTTGACTGTGTATGGATGCTGACTTGGCCATGTGTGAAGGCTGGCTTGGCAGTGTATGAACGCTGACTTGGCCATGTGTGAAGGGTAACTGAGCTGTGTATAAACGCTGACTTGGCCATGTATGAAGGCTGACTTGGCCGTGTATGAACGCTGACTTGGCCATATGTGGAGGCTGAGTTGGCTGTGTATGGACGCCGACTTTGCTGTGTATGGACGCCGAAGACATATTTATGCATGGACGCTGGGCATTGATGCTCTTTAGATCTAAAAGGAAGGCGACACGTGTTGTCACCCCTCCTTCATGGAGCGCCAACGACCGCATTGACCGTGTTGGCGCTTAGGCCATGGCGCAACAGGGATTCGAACCCGGGCCCCCGACCCCTAAGTCCATGGCACCAACCACTCGGCCATCACCTGGAAACCTATGCCTCCGGGTTTCAAGACATTACGTCTGCAGCAGGCCACGGCTTTCCTGCACTAGTGAACTGATCCGCATTTCCTGTCATCTTTCATAACTTTCAAATTGAATTTTTAAAACGTCTTTAAATGTTTTTTAAAATGTCTTTAATAATGATGCCTTTTCATCTTTCCAGACGTCAAATATCCCCATGCGAAATGCGCTTCCAAATTAAGCCCAGCGGCTACCACGTTTTGCTTGCTCCGCAGGGTTCTTCCACAAACAGCCAGCATTAAGCTCCTATGCACACATTTATCTTGCAGTTTGACTGTTCAGCCCGTTGACCTGCGTATCTGACGCAAAAATCCGTCATGTCACTATCAGCTGCTTTGCACCACTTCCTTTAATGCCTTGACTTCCTATCAGTGGATGTGCCGTCCGTCGGTGGTGCGACCGTCGAATATAGACCAACTTTGCGCGTCTGATGAAACTGATCGTACTCGTGAGCATGATCATGATCGTGATTATGAGCATGATATTTCGAGATAACCGCCAAAATTACTCTCATCTCGTTCAGATGCGAGTCGGACACAACTACCTGGAGCAGCATCGGCTTGACCCAGCTGGCCCCCCTGTTCGCCGTCCTGCTGGGCGGCATGGTGACCTCGCTCCTGGTGCTGGCGGCGGAAGTCATCCACTTCCGCTGCAGCGGTCGACATCAGAACCGTGTCATTTCCGGACCGGGGGCAGTTGTTCCGGGCTCAATCAAACCCTGCTGGTCTTAGCTGAATGGGGACAATGTGCGGACGCGGACGGCACTTATTTTGTTCGTCTCTTGGTTCCGCGATAATTAGGCTTGAAAACGATGCGTCGTTGGAACATAGGCAGTACGCCAGTGGATCAGGCGGTGAGGATACAAGGGTGGACCGCTCAGGGTGGAGGAGTAAGAAATGTAATGATTGCATTGAAATCGATAATTGCACCGTTTACCCTTGATGCGTCTGTGTGCACATATCTGCCCATTTATAAACATAAATTGTTCGTGAATGCCGTCGAGCAACGATGTTAAATGCTAAACAAAATTAATAATGTCTGATACGAGGAAGGCTGGCTCTTCAACCTTTTGCAAGTGGGAAAATTACTTCTTAAGCCCGAACCACGCAGTAAATTAACAAGAAACCACGAATACTGGCGAGCTTATACCAAGCCTAACTAAGACGGAAATATGTGTCTTGAGTAATATGGAAACTATACGTGACTCACTATGCTCTCATGATTAATTATTTATTCCACGTTCACATCTGCCAGTTCATTGCTTGTAGGGTATGCATGTTGAAATATTTACGACGAGCATCGTAGGTGTAAGAATTGTTGTCCAACGCCGCACATCTTCTATAACTTGTAGACAGCTCACGTGGTAGAACGTTGACAAACATATACAAACATACAACAGAAGTCAGCCCATCGCTAAGTCTCATGCCCAACTTTCGTCCACATTACTCCACTGGAGGCGCTAAAAATATTTCCTTATAGCAAGGCTGGCAAAAGCAAGTGAGCTGAAAACAATATTTTCATTCCGTGACAGCGATGGGGTGGGAAACGTTCGATGTTCATGGGGCCTGCTTACTGACGATTATTTGTTTTTCATCGAGATAAGCGTGATACGCGTAGCCAACCAGAGTTCTTGGTTGGTTGGTTGGTTGGTTGCGCTAGTATCGTAATGTTGATAAGTGCCAGCCAATATCGACCCACCGTCGAAACACCACGCGACAAAATCGCCCGAAACACCACGCGACATGAACTAGTTGAATTCTAACTAAGCCTGGAGGCGGAGTGATGCTTATTCCAAAGTCACAACAGCTGTCTGGCCAATGACGTGTTGCTATCACTTGACAAAACAACGTGTGCCAACCAGCTCCTGCAGAAATAAGGCCACGTGGTAACGCTGAATGCGTCAGTGATTTGTCTGTCACTTGGAAGGCACGAGGTCAAATGTTCGCTTTAACAGGTTGAACACCGCGGGTCAATTGTTCTTTTTCGGGCGCAGCCCGGATTATTTGGACTTGAATTCGAATCATTATATACCAACAATAATCTCTAGGAACATAGCCGCATATTGAATTTTGGTGGACTTACATATTTAGCTGAACAATATTCATTCCTAGTGCCCACTCTTGTTTGTTGCCGACAACTCACATTCCCAAAAAATGACGTCTTGCTCCCCGACATGCATGATGCCAGTGGGAAGAGACTTGGTGCGTTTGTGGTGGACTATTAGGCATAAAAGAGGCGATTTTTGTTGCCAGTATATAATTCAGATCACACCTATAGGTAGCCCATTATATGTGTGTTCCGATGACTTCATTTTTTTCACCGGCGCAACCTTTAAGACCGTGTAACCAGTGGCAGATGAGCATTGCTATGTGTTTGTTGCTGCCATTGTAGAACGTTTAATGCTTTAAAGAAGCCTTCGCTTCCTCCAGTAGAATTTGCATGCAGCTTATCCCAGTCCCACGAACAGTGACCGTTTTTTATGTTTACCGTAGCGTTAGGTGCTGCACGGTTGTCCATCTGAAAGATGTCGACTGTTTCCTCGCTGTCGTATTTAACAACAATATATTCTGACACGGAACCATGCCTCCTCCTTTTCAAAGAGACGAAAACTTAGTGGATTTATAATACTGCCGACATTTTTCAGCGATCCTAAGTACTGGTGGCAGGGTCACGTTATTGCACAGGTTATTGAAACCGATTTCTACCGTGTGTGTGTGTGTGTGTGTGTGTGTGTGTGTGTGTGTGTGTGTGTGTGTGTGTGTGTGTGTGTGTGTGTGTGTGTGTGTGTGTGTGTGTGTGTGTGTGTGTGTGTGTGTGTGTGTGTGCGTGTGTGTGTGTGTGCGTGTGTGTGTGTGTGTGTGTGTGTGTGTGTGTGTGTGTGTGCGTGCGTGCGTGCGTGCGTGCGTGCGCGCGTGCTGTTGACGGTGCCACGAAGCGAGCATAGCACAGATACTTGTCAATGACCATAAATACAAAATTTCAGCAGCTGGCGCGCGTTGGAAGCTTTTCTAGCTTTCGTTTTCACCAGTCTTCAACGAGTGGCAACTCCAACAGAACATGCCAGCGCAGTTTGCAAGGCATTCGTGCCTACGGCAAGAGTGAACGACGTCACAACACGTACGAGTTTCTGCCATGTTCGACAGCCAACGGAGACGCGAGTTAATCTGACGTCCGGCCATCGCCGGTGAATGGTACTGCAGTCTGTGCGTGCCCCGGACACTACGACGACCCATGTACAGTGTTGAACCGCCTGGCTAGCGCTAGTAACAGACACCTAGTAACACCCCCCCCCCCCCCCCTACCCTCACCCGACTCGCTGCCGGACTACAGCCGCCGCGAGCTAGTATTTCGCCGACTGCAGACGCCGCGCAGACCACAACCAGCGTCAATCACCCGCGCGTCGACAGTAACTGCTGCAGGTTGTCACCGTCACCGTCAGCCAAGCCTGTTTTTCGAACCCTGTCCAGCGCTCCCCGTGTGGAAACAAACGCTCACAAGGTGCAACACTTTTATTGACTCATCCAACCAATATCCCCATAAGATATGAGTGCAAGTGCACGGGCATTTTGACGCGTGATGACTGACTAGATTCGTCCCTTTCCGCTTGAAAACAAGCTTTGCACAAGTGATGCGTCGGATAACACGTGCCTTGCTGAAGCTTCTGGCGACACACAACTCGATTCGCTTCGGCTTCGGCTTTGACTTTGGCTTCGGCTTCGGCTTCGGCATCGGCCTCAGCTGGCTGGCCACTCTGAGATCTGCACGCGCAAACCCGCCCCACATGGCACCATTCACAACGGAGCCTATCAAGACCAAAAGCTGACCCAGGTACGCAGCCCCGGTAGGCTGCGTATGTGCGAACAGACAGGGACGGCCCGCAGCAGGGCAGGAGCGCTGTTGTGCCCTTGGACGGAACGCAGTCGGACGGAGTCGGCGCCGCTCCACCCGCGGTCGCATTGCACACACATTCCCCGCTCGCGCGGCGCCGCACTAACGAGAGTCACGGGTCACGGCGGTGCTGCGGCCTTTGCCGGAGCTGATCGGTGAGGGCGGCGCGCCGCGAGACCGACGACGATAAGCCAGCAGCGGACGGGCGCGACCCTCACTACGCCCGCTAGTCCACATGCTGCGGGAGGAGACTGGCGCGGTGGCGGGGAGATAGCACAGCCTCCTGTCTCGCCGCTGGCACCGACGTGGGCGGGAGGTTGCGAGATAATCTCCCATCTGTCGTACTCTGCAAAACATACAGGCTCCACGTTCGCCCCCTGCGCACCCCGGCCCACGACACCGGCGGCGACGGGCATCCTCAAGGGGCGGCATTGGTTCTGCAGGGGCAGCATCGGCCGCGGGCTCTACTGCGGCACCACCTGCCACAGACTCTGCAGCGTGAAGCCGTCCTTGAGCCGCTCCATAGCTAGCCCCAGCTCGGGACAGTAGACCGGCTCCCGGTCCTGGCGACACCAAGTGGCCGGTCAGGACAGGCGGCCCCCAAGACATACACGAGATGGCGGTTCTTATTCTGACAATGAACGACCTCCAGTACGGTTAATTTATAGTTCCAAGAGGTAATGGTTAAACACTGGCAAAACATTGTGAAGGAAGACCTGCGTTTTACCACTGCAGTCTACGCTTGTTCGACAACGCCGTTTATAGGGAATGTTCACGTTTAAAGATAATGAAGCAAGCACCAGATACGGCGAACTAAGCCCACTTTAATAGATGTGTAAATTTAGTAGATATGCCCCGCAATACATCATTGATTGCATCATGGAAGGTTTGTATGACGCTGGGGTGCTGCCAAACCGGCCATGCGAAATACCACCCTAGTTCCCAGTTGTAGTACTTTGATTTCCCGAGAGATGGCCGCGGTGGTGCTGGAGGTGTGTGCTGAACCAGCATCGTTAAGTGCTCGTGACCTGACCACTTCTCGGGGTGTTCTTGCACATCAGTCCGTGAGTTTAAGGTGCTTTCTTGTATTCACATACTCAGTTATTGCGCTATTATTAAGTTATTATATCTGAGTCTCATTTATGTAATGAATGGGACCCATGTACAATTTCTCGCATTATGAAGCACATGACGTGATTCGTGACTGAAATTGGCACAACTTACACAACACTGGTTGAAAGTCGATTGACGTTTGTTTCGTCTGAAAATCGTGTTCACGAACGCCAGATATGAACAACTTAACGATTATATTCTTGTTGGCCTTGAACGCCTCATGGCCAATCAGGTGGCAGGATTTGAATAGTATTTTTCTGACGTAATATCTGAACGATCGTTCGCTGTATGATCGTACCGCCGCCACTTCCGTTGAAAACTCCATACAAATCAGGAACTCTCCCTTTAACTAGTACGTTCTGGAGCACTGAAGGCCGATCAATGTCAGAGTAATGACTCCAACTCACAATGCCGATGCACCAAGAGTTCATCACCTTACTTGGCTCCATCAAAGCCAGCGTCAGTGCCACGTGCAATCACAGCAGCAGTGACCCACTCCGGCGTCACCCACCCAGCACCATGGGTCAGCAGCGGCCGCGCCATCGTCCACTGACGCCGAGGCAGCCTCTGACCTGCGCGTGGTCGCCGTCGGCGAAATAGGAGGCAAACGTGTCGGCGGGCGGCTCCGTGTCGTCGATCTCGGCGATATTGTCCATGTCGTTGCTCAGCTGGTCCGCCGTCATCGAAGCGCTCTCGCAGTCGCGCGTGTACTCCACCCCGAACACAGGCGTCTCGCTGTACACCTGGTGACGGGACGGGGGCATCTCTTGTACACCCGGAGATGGCACAATGCCATCCCTTGTACAACTGGCGACGGCGCAAGGACATCTCTTGTATACCTGGAGACGGCACATTACTCCCTTCCTGTACCCCTGGCGTCGGGACGAGGGCATCTCTTGTCCAAACGAAGCTGGTACATTACTACCCCTCGTACAGATAGCGACGGTACAAAAGTATCCCCAGTACACCTAGCGACGATACAATAGTACCCCTTGTGCACCTGGTGCCAGCACACTAACACCCCATGCATCTCTGATGACGGTGCAACAAAACAGCCTCCGTTACACCTGGCGAAAGCGCAACACAACTTTCCTTGTACACGTGGCAGCGGTGCATAAACACCTCTTGTAAAAACACCTCTTGCCTCATAAACACCTCTTGCCTGGCGAAAGTACATTACCTCTCGTATATCAATAGCAGTGCATACTTGTTTAACACACCAAATATATCTAGCCCCTCGTCCCGGCCACTCCGAACACCCCGAGCCGGCACAAAACAGATACTTCTATCGCTCGGAAAATGTTTGGATCAATCGGTACACGAACACGCCCGGGGATCGAGACACAAGCATTGATCACGTGCCACAGACCAGCACAGCCAGCGCATCTGCCGTGAGGACTCGTGATCATGCAACGGACGCTGCGGCGCTCGTCAGCCGATGTCGCGGCGCGCCGCCCACCTGGAAGAGCGAGTCCAGCTCCTTGTAGACCTCCATCAGCTTCTGCTTGGGGTCGATCCGGAATCCGAGCACGTAGCCGCCGCTGCTCTCCGTGGACTCCACCACCAGCGCCGGGCCGAACTTGGAGTCGCGCGTGCGAACCGAGTCCATTTGGAGGTACGGCAGCGACATGTTGAACTGGACAGAGGCAGATCGCTCAATAAACGGAGCATTTCCACATGGCCTTGGCCATCAGTTTTACATAGCGTTTTAGCCGATGCCGCGCCTAAACACGTGGCATTTAGCGTTCCTGAGTCTAGCAGTCTGTTCCACAAGCTCCACAGGCGAGCGACCAGTGAAAGATACAGGCATTCGCCTCGGGCTGACAAGAAAGGTGGCCTGTTGGTGGCGGGGCGTATTCGCCTAAGAGCGTAACAGCTTCTACAAACCAGTAACGCTTGCATTCCAGGCGTTCAGTGATGTGTAGCGTAAAGAAGGGGTTTGTCTCCGAGTAGGCCTAGATAACTGCGTTGTGGTAGATCGTGTACAATTAATGATGTGCTCTTGAGTTATAGCTCGAAACATAAGCTATTGGGCCGTTCGCCAGGAGCACTACCCTGGTTCTCCGTTTTTCATAACGCGAACTCTTGGGGGGGGGGGGGGGGGGGCGATGCGACTCCTGCCATTTTCAAACTAAGAAAGATAGAGCTTAGTGGAAAACATCAGTGGATTTGCTTCAACGAGTATCTCGTGACTGACATTACGTACTGGCGACGCGACTGGCATATCGCTGGGTTAATAATCAATCAATTATGTCAGGCCCAAGGTCCAAGTTACCCGAAAATACTTTTTTAGGTTCGCATGCTCACATGTACGAGACCACGCCTGGTAACGGCACGAAAACTACGCAGGTGTGTTCCTTGTACAATTTCGACATACATGGTGCGTGGTTTTGTGTTTTGACCATATATTCATAATGCATGGCCTCGTTAGTGTAACAAAGTCGGCCCGCCGTGCGCGTTCCGCGGCATCGTCTACTGCCTCCTCCCGCATTTGCAGGACGTAGGTCGTCGTACAGTGTTGCCCAAAAACCACCGCTGTTCAAAACGAGAAAGGCTAGGGACACATTTTTTAATCAAAATACGCGCAATGGATGCCCATAAGCTACTGAAAATTTGGACACCCTTGTACGACATGCCGGAAAGGTATCCTCAGAAAACCTCAAAGGGGTGAGGGGGTCGTATCGGCCGCTTCCTCGTTACGAAGGGGTTCTCCTAATCCCCCTACGAGGGTTAACCCTCATCCTGATGAGCTTTCAGCAGGTTATGGGGCATCCACTACGCACGTTTTAACAAAACTTGTTCCTAACTTTTCTGGTCTGACCAGCAGCGGATTTTCAGGAACATTGCAAGGCGACCCACGTCCGGTGCAGAACGCTTGCGGCGGGGACACACGGTTACATTAACAGAGCCATATCTCATACACATAGGCTCAGAGCATACACGTCTACACCAATGTAGTCATAATTGAACAAGAAACATGAACTTTAGGGTTTGTATCGCCACGAAGCATGGTTTTGTATTGACAATGTTGTGAGGCTGAAAAAATACGATTTTGACACTTATTTAACTTTGACCAGGCATAATGGGGTCAACTGCTGACCTAATGAGATAAAAGGTCATCTAAATCCCGAGGCCTCGTTGAAACCAACCCATCGGTGGTTTTCGCCAAGCTCTACCTTTCTTAGTTCGGAAACGCATGGGGGGAGGGGTCACATCGACCCCTCCCCTGCCAGTCCGCGTTATGAAAAACTGCAAACCAGGACGAGGGTGTAAGCGATTGTAACCGAAACTCTTTTCGCTTGAAAACGGACCCCATAAAATTGTGAAATACATGTGTGTTTCTCAACATAACTTAACAGCACATCGATAGTCTTATTTGATCCACCACGCCTCTGAAGGCAAATATAAGACGATTCGTCGTCGCACTTCGAGGTAACCAGTGACACGTCATTTCCAGCTGGGTGCACTCGATGCTGAGGTGTTCCAATGCAATTCGACACCCCCCCCCCCCCCTACCCACCCACTCCCCCCCCCCCTCTCGCCACTGCACAAGCCGCCGCGCCAGCGCCGCGCACCTGTTCGTTCATGTTGGCAAACCAAACGAGTCGGACGTTGGTGATGACGAAGGTGCCGAGGTTGCCTTGGTCGGAAGAGAGGTTCCACACGCCGTCCACCCGGCTCACGATCTCCTCCTGCGGCAACCGCCGCAACTGCTTGTTGGAGACGATGGCGCCGCGCAGCTTCAGCTCCCTGTCCGGGGAGGGTATGGGGGTCACATGAAGAGGGGCTCGGAAGGCCCTGTTACGTGTTGTGTTGTTGTGATGATGTCAGCACCTGCCTATACTTTTACGGAAGGATTGAGACGAGGTATTAGTACCACATATGGAACAATCATTCGGACCTTCGTACTCGTCTGCTGAGTTTTCAGGTACAAAACGGTTAGCGTAATTAAGTGCCCGGTCGTTGCTAGTCGTCATAAAACTCTGAGAAGGACTGGATGACATTTGACTTTCAGCCATGTATGCGTCATAACGCGAGTCCTCTCCTCGGAATTGCTGCGATTCGAACCATGTTCTTCTGATCGCGGTTCAGTGCTCTACCAGTTGCTCTTTCCGTTTTACCATCCATGATGCCTGCGCCTCCTGACGAGAGCAATCCTGCCCACCTTTCGACCCGGCACTAGGTCAAAGCTCCCGGCCCAACATGCCCCAGCTACAAGCACAGCCTGTACGGCAACCCGAGTACACCCCAGTGAGTGCATTTAGACCCGCCATCCTGTACAGGTGGCACGCAGACCCCCATCTGCCAGCGCAGCCCTGGTGCCGCCCTCGCTCACCTGTAGAGCCGGGAGCTGGTGTAGGCCTTGTACACGCCGCCGACGGACGTGAACAAGCGCTGGCTGCCCGGCGTCAGGTTGGTGAAGATGAACTCGAAGCGAGTGTTGCCCGACTTGGTGAGGATGTACAGCGCCTCGGTCATACCGCGTAGCTTGGAGTTCACCTAGGTAGAGCAGTGTGAACAGCTCAGATACAGCGCAGTACGCCGCTGGTCAGATACAAGCTGTGCTGATGCGTGAAAGTGTCCATGATTTTCTTGAACGAGCCTGTCTTGTAGTAATGTCCAACGCAGTATAATAATTGCTGGAGCTCTCATTGAGTTGTTCACGGGCGTTGTTTTTGCCATGCCCGGCAAAATAAGGTTGATTAGCAAATAAATAAAGGAAACATCACATAAAGTATAAGGGGTCCGTTTTCTGGGAGTGTCACCTGTATTTGACCTGAAATAAGCAAAACAGGCAACATAAGTATACATAAGTCAATAAGTCCTGGTAGGTAAGTCAATAAGTCAATAAGTAGGTTACTCCAAACTGCGCGGTAAACTTTGTTTACCGCGTAGCTTGGAGTTCACCTAGGTGAAGCGCGGTGAACAGCTCAGATACAGCGTAGTACGCCACTGGTCAGATACAAACTGTGCTGATGCGTGAAAGTGTCCATGATTTTCTTGAACGAGCCTGTTTTGTAGTAACGTTCGATGCAGTGTACTCTTTGCAGGAACTCTCATTGAGGTCTAGTTGTGTTCACAGGCGTTGCTTTTGCCATGTACGGCAAAATCGGGGTGATTGGCGAATGAATGAAGGAAATATCATAAAAACTGAGCGGGGGGCGGTTTTTGGGAGGAGTCACCTGTATTTGACCCGAATTAAGTAAGACAGGAGTTCAATATCTTGGGGCAGGGGTCAATTTGACTTCGCGACCCTAAAATTTCGCTTGGGGATAGCCTAAAAGAGCGCAGCGTGGCCGCCGCAAACGTTTCTGTTCAGTTGGTAGAAAAGTTATTAGCAAATCTTTTGGTATGAAAATAGCTGCATGTCGTTCAATAGCTGCAAAATAGCTGCAAGGTCGCTGACCTATGGCAGGTCAGGGTCAGGCCTTGTATGTCAGCGATGGCAATTCCAAGAGAATCGCTGAATGTGATATGACAACGGATTGTTAAGCAAAATAATAAATCTTTGAGACGGCTTCTTAGACATCAATATTATTTAATTGCAGGATTGCGACTTATTATACTGACCTTGAGCCAGGCGTGAATGTCAGACCGAGATCAAAATCAACTTGTCTCTTTGTTGTACACGCTGATTTACGGAAAAGCCTCCGGCGCTCATTTTTAATTTCTTCATCACAGGAGCGCCAATAATTTGACCTCACAGGGATGTCAATATTTTAACCTCACAGGGACGCCAATATGTTGACCTATTTTGACCTCATAATGGTCACAGTACCACCGAATTAAATTGACCAGTCAACTTTTTGTGTTAGGAAATAACGCCTGCGATAATCCACGACCAAACCAATACCAAAGCAATCTCGACAGTGTTTAGTCATTGTGAACTAGAGGCGAAATAATGCCAGCGCCCTGAAATGGAAGCCAGGGATCTATTCCTTAAAAGAGGCATGTAAGTTCGAGGCGGCTGCTTCAGGTCTGATGGCATTTCGGACAACAATCTGGAATTTGAGCTTGTTTGACCTTTTTTTCCCTGAAGGTCATGACCTAGAGACCTAAAAATTTGACATAGGTCTTTTCACATATCGGCCTGCCTACAATGTGGATTCATTGTCTCTAGCCCATTCAGTTCGGTTTTACTGTGCTCGGGGCGGGGGGTGGGGGGAGCTAAATTGACTTCCTACCCAAGCGCGTCGCATTGAACCGGCTAGCCAGGCGCATGTTCAGCTCCAGGGTTCCGTGCTGACAGTAATCGACATTCGGAATACAGGCGTAGACTAGCTAATCGACGTAATCAAGCGAATAGTGGTCATATTGACGAAACTCTTTTCATTTTTAACGGTATAACGGTTTTAACAGGGCTTTGACAACACACAGATGTTCAGAGATATTTAAACGTCGAGTAGTTCATAAACATAGTCTGCATGCATCTGAGCTGACATGTCTTGCATACCAATCACAACCATTAAGTGGGCCACCACATTTAATTTTAATGAAATATTTCGCAGCGTGTCAGTACGGACGGGGTAATTTTTTATGTAGAGTACCGTCTTCTTCAATTTTGGTACTATCCCTTCGTGGTGTCAGCATTGGAAAGACCAGTAATCCCAGCACGTATTTCAGTGAGATGTCACATAACGTCGTGGTTATTGCTGAGAAAACACCGGAGCCGCCGTCATCATCACAGCAGGGACGGTGGCAGCAGCGGTGAGCGAAGCCGGTGTTGTAATGACGCCACAGCGGCCACAGCGGGGCCAAAGCCAGCAGCGGTGAGTACGGAGTGAGAGGGCGCCACGGCGGCCACGGCGAGGCCAAAGCCGGAAGTGGTGAGCAAGGCCAACGCTGTGAGGGCTGGCCACAGCCGAGCAGAACGTTCACCTGCTTGACGGTGATGTTGAGCACGCAGTTGTAGCCGACCGAGAGGCTGACACGCGGCATGGCGTGCGAGTGCCAGATGATGCGTAGGTTTGTCACCAGCATCCGGCCTCGGTCACCGCTGTTGCCTGTCGCCACAGAGACGGTCACCGCTGTTGCCTGTCGCCACAGAGACGGTCACCGCTGTTGCCTGTCGCCACAGTGACGGTCACCGCTGTTGCCTGTCACCACAGAGACGGTCACCGCTGTTGCCTGTCGCCACAGAGACGGTCACCGCTGTTGCCTGTCGTCACAGAGACGGTCACCGCTGTTGCCTGTCGCCACAGAGACGGTCACCGCTGTTGTCTGTCGTTACAGAGACGGTCACCGCTAATGTCTGTCGTTACAGAGACGGTCACCGCTAATGTCTGTCGTCACAGAGGCGGTCATCGCTGTTGTCTGTTGTTACAGAGACGGTCACCGCTAATGTCTGTCCTCACAGAGACAGTCACCGCTGTAGCCTGTCGTCACAGAGACGGTCATTGTTGTTGCCTGTGGTCACAGAGACGGTCATTGTTGTTGCCTGTTCGCTATAGAGACGGCCACCGCTTTCGCCTGTTGTCACAGAGACGGTCACCACTGTTGCCTGTCGCCACAGAGACGGTCATTGTTGTTGCCTGTTCGTTACAGAGACGGCCACCGCTTTCGCCTGTTGTCACAGACACGGTCACCACTGTTGCCTGTCGTCGCAGAGACGGTAACCGCTTTCGCTTCTTGCCACAATGGTGGCATAAATACGAACCTAGGTCATCACCCACTACCGAGCTGAGGACTAGCACCATAAGGAAGTCGCGACTTGCGCAGACGGTGTGAACAGCACCAACAGTCACCATTCCCGTCTGAACAGCATGGGCGCTTCCAACCGTGACGATCTGAGAAAGCAGCAAGCAGCCGTTGATCTCCAATGCGACGAACTCGCTTCTCGTCATTTCAATTTCCAACGTCACTCAGTGCGGGCCACGCCTGTGTCACAGTCCACTCGCAAAGCGCACCTTGGGTTAACCGGAGGCACGCAAGCCCGTACGTACCCTTGGTGTCTTCCACAGAGTCTAATGTATCGATCAGCTGCTCGCCAGGCCGCATTTTCATCTGCGATGGTGCTATGTCGAACCGCACCTCCCTGTCTTCCCACAGCAGTGACATGGCTGGTGTTCAGAGGATGATAAAAGGTCAGGGGAGGGAGCCCGCGTGTCTCTTGCCCTGTGGGACGAGACGAAGCCCTGCATTAGCTGCGTGGTTATCCCACAAATATGGTGGAACGGAGAAGATGTGTTAATACTGGTTAATATACTCACTAGTGGCATTTGCTGCCCAAGCTTAATATGGAACACCGGGCTCTGGTTGCCACGTCAGGGCCAAATATTGTACCTCCAAACATAAATGTGGCAGTAAGGGCTCCAACAAGTGGTGATGTAGAGAGACTTAATAGAGACCTATACAAAATGTCACAAGATGAATGAGTATGTTATGTGACAGTGCAAAATGCTGATAAGGAATGGTGATCTCCAGACAAATGGACTGGTCTGTTTGAAATGGAAAAAACAAGGCATATCCTGCAGCAGAGGACTCACATATATTTTGGGATTCATACCATACAATGGGTGATCTCGAATTCAGACCAATATTCAATATTAAGCAAGGTTCAAATATTGGCATTGAGCAGTCAATCTTTGTAATGTTGAGTAACTCCAGCTTTTAAACAGCTTTCCTAGGTTTCTGGCTTGATGTTCCAAATGCTCCTACTAGCAGCTCAAACATAAATCATCCCAAATATAGGGGATTTGTAAGTGGAATAAGACAGGACAGGTGATTTCCCCTAATGCATATTCAAGAAAATCATATAAGATTGAGTTAATAAAATAACAATAAGCCACAAATCAATATCTTTGTTTGAGCTTAGTTCTTTAAATAGTTTCAATAATATTTGAAACTAGCTGTCAGGATTTGGATTTTCATTTAAGGATTTCAGGATTTGCAAGATTCAAATATATTTAAATTCATTCAAATCCTTTATTGCCAAGCCCCCAGGACTTTTGCATAGATAACTTTTTTTAAAAAAATGGGTATAATGCCATAGCTAAGGCAATTTAACTCAACTGATCTCTAACTGCTCTTAACAACAGAAGAGAAACATAGTATTATTACCTGTATCACCACAACTTTGCATTCAATGCCATTTGCATGATGTTGTTTCATGTAACTCCAGGAGCATTTTTGCTATCAAAAGTGCATCATATTTTATAAAGTGTTATGCTCATGCAAGGCACAGCTGAGTATATTGTACAGGCTTACACAGTTCAAAAAAGCAGTGACGAGAGATGACAACATGCTGACCTAAAGATCTTCATTATTCTGATGCTTGACAGTTCTGCATCATTTTGGTATGGAACAAGGCTGCAGTTTCTTATCTTGTATTAGCTTCCCCCCAAACACAGAAATTCGGATACGGAACATGGGGAAATCTGGAGGGAAACATATTCACTGCTCATTTTCAGGTATGCTCAACTATTGCCAACTCAGTCCCTACCCCAACTTAGTTGAAGGCACAGCCCCGATTGAGAGAACTTGTAAAGCACTCAACTTGTGTTGCAAGGTGAGTGATTATAAATGAACAAGGCAAGCAGTTTACCCAAAATTTATCAATGACACCTTAACAGTCACGAGCTATTCAATGCTACCAGTTTATCAGAGACTGCTATAATATTTCTTTCACGTACAAACCAGAGAGAACCGAATGAGACATTGTGTGCCAAATACCAGTTGTGCTATGTTGAGCTTGCATACCATACCACACCAGTTGAGCTATGGGCACAATCACAATATATTCCCATGCAAGTTGTAGGGATGATGATTGACACCAGTGATGCTTTGATTTATCACAACACAGTATTTCACAGAAAGGCACACATTTTTAAAGTAAGGATGAAGCAAACACCTGAATTATGCATATTAGCACTATTTTTTCCTGCACAGACATATCACCTTGATGTTTGTTGAATTTCCTGCATACATCACAACACCGAAACTAGTATCACAAGCCGGCTAAATAGACTTTTGTGTCAGCTCTTAACAAAGATGTGTGGCATGACAGTGCAATTCATTAATATATATTCATCTTAGGTGTCAAAGAATATCATAAATTGTACAACTAGCATACCATCCACCAAACAACTGCAATCACCAAACAGGGTTGTTACCAAACATTAGTACACAGCACTACAATCCAAAGGAACCGAACATGCAGCCGAAAATGCCCCCCCCCCCTTATCGCATCCACAACGCCCTCCCGTCAAACTCCCACAGACAACCCACCTAAAATTCCCTTACAAGCTTGGGCTCTCACTATCCTGATTATAGGCGCCTCTTCACATCAACGCAAATGAAAAATGTCTGCTGCGCAGCTAAGTCTCACATGCGCGATTTCTGACTCAATCTTATTCACTGCCACGGACTCCGTACGCAATTGCAAAGCCCTTGGCTATCTTGAAGTAATGTATCAAAAATTTCAACAAAATTAAACTAGCACCTCTTGGGGTGAAATGTGGGTTTAAAGGTAGGTATTGTAGATTGGCGACGCAACAGACTGCAGAAACCAGAGACGGCGCAGCAAGGGGACACAAGAAGCAATAGTACGTTTTTGCCTTCCTCAAGCTTTTTGGATTGCTCTTTTTCCAACTAAAGGCATTGTAACTAACGTAGAGTATCAAAATTCAGATTAAGAAGACCTTATCATTGAGCAAGAGAGTGTCAAATCGGGTCCAGAACCTCCTGGTGCCAGTAGCTATCTTAGTTTTTGACATCTCGAGGGCTTCAGATTGACCCCTCCCCACCCAAGCGACGAGTAGTGATGCGGTCACCCGGTCGCGTGTTAACACGCGCCCGGGCGGCCGGCTAGATGCCCTTCGCTTGATTGGGGGGTCAATTTAACCCCCTCCCCCTGAGATCTCGGGAACTAAGAGAGCTAGAGACACCAAATTTGCAGAGTGTGTCGACCTATACGTTAACTCACTTAAGTCAAAGTTTGAGGCTCCTAGGTCATGACCCTCGGGTCAGATAAGGCCAAACAAGGTCAAATTACATGTTGGTCTCCAAAGTGCCCGCAGAACTTAGATAACTGCTTCTAATCAAAAGGTCACATGCTCGGCTAAGATCAGTGACCTTGTTTGACCTTTTGAAGGTCATGATGACCAAAATCATACAAGACTGCTCTGGGCGTTGTATTTGAATAAGCGACAAAGATTGCGCCAGGTAATATGTACCTAAAAAAATGCTGACCTGGTTCATGTCAGATCAATGACCTATCCTGACCTCCAAGAAATCCATGGAAGATGTATAATGCGGTCACTGCTATTAATACATTCGAAATGAGCACCAAAACAATCCCATAGAGCAAACCCCAGGGTAATAAAGCAGGTTGGTTTTGACTTCGGTCTGACCTTTATACCTGACCTCAGGTGGACTCAATTTGCTCGTTCAATATTTGTGTTGCCTAAAAGGCATCTCAGAGATGCATGGCTTCGTCAAACACTCCGTTGTTGCATCAGATTGAACGATTCCCTAGAAATTGCCTTCGCTGCAACCATGGCCTGACTTTGACCTGCGATAGGTCAGCGACTTTACAAGGTACATCTAAATTTTTGCTGCCAAACGATCCGTTATTCAAATGTCTACGGAATGCAAAATTTAGCGCGGCTGCGCCTTGTTCGGAAACCATTCTGGAAAAACCTTTGCGGGTCAATTTGACACCCACCCGAGTGCGTGTTAAGTGCTTGGGTGGAGTGGGGTAATTTGACCCTCCCACACCTGAAGGTCTGTCCAAATTAACTTCCGAACAGCGCGGTGTAGCCGCGTTGAGTTTGACATAGGTGTAGCCAATGAAATAGCCGGCTTTTGGTATCAATGGTAATATGTGCCTTTTAAAGTCGTTTTCTTATGGTAGGTCAAAGGCATGCCCTGGCTGTCAGCAAAAGTAATTCCCAGGGAATCGTCCAATCTGATACAACAACAGAGTGTTAGACGCAACCATAATCTTTGATACGGTGTCTTTGACGAGAAGGTACTGTATCTAAGGGTTATGACTAATTCCATTGGCCTTGGGTCTATTATGCAGGTCGGCGAGCGTTTGTTCAGCAGATGTCTAGCTCAAATGTGACCGCTTAACGAGCTCTGACGACTTCGGACACCGATCTGGAGTTTGACTTTTTCTTGACCTTATCGAACCTGAAGGCCGTGACCTGGAGATCTCAAAACTTCGCCAGTGATGAACATGTGCTCAAAACACATGGAAGTATGCTTCAGTGAATTCAGGATTCAACATGACAAGCCCGTTAAGGTTTCGTATCCCTACAAGGCATAATTTCGTGCAGGTGAACATGTAAAGCTGAAAGGCTGAAAAGACTGGAAACGCTTCGCAAACGACTTTATGTGTTTTCACCAAACCTCCGTGTGCTGGTCATCACGATGCAGGCAATACGGCTGCAAATAGCAACGCGCTGTCAAGGGTTGATTTGAACACAACAGGTCATGTCGGCTGATGAGATACTTATGGGATTGTTCCACATTTGTGTGGGGTTTTAAGCTGACATAGCCATCTTGAACACCTTTCGATGCAGCTCACGGTTATGTCCTTTTTAACACCAAAATCGTAATGGTTCCTGAGATTAGAGATCGCAAATATATGAGAAAGCATTCGTGGGAAGTAATTTCAATATCAACTCGATATTCCTGACGTCATAATAACGTCATTCAAATCCTGCCATTCCATAAGCCATGCGGCGATCAGAGCCAAGACAAATAGAATGGTCGAGTCTCCCATATTTGACGTTTAGGAGCATGATTTCCAGATAAAACGGTCTGTCAATCGCCTCTTAATCAATGTTTTGCAAGATACGATGACATAATAAAGCAATGACGTAACGAGGAGAGTATTGACTTAACAGAAAAGTTGTAATGTCTAGAGCAGTTTTTTTACTTCAAAGTATAGCGATGGTTGTTAGTGAGATGGTTCAACCATACCTGATGCCTGCTTCAGTATCTTCATGTGTGGAAAATTCTCTTTAACACGCGCCCCGGTGATCGATTAAATGCCTACGCTCGGGTGGGGGTAAATTTGATCCCCTGAGATCTCAAAAACGAACAGAACTAGAGACACAAAACTCACAGGGTGTGCTAGCCAGTACGCGAACTCACTTGTG